AAATACGTCTCCCCCCCCCCTCCCCCAACCCCCTTTTGTATTTAAATAATATAATAATAATATATTATACATTTATTACAAATCTAGAATTTTTAAATCTAGACTATTACTAAAACAAGGGTCTTTCTTGGGTCAAAAATAATTTTTTTTAAGGAACTTTGAGTCATCACATTCTTTTAAGGGGGTGTAGCTATGGTCAACACCCACAGGCTATAGGTTTGATCTAATGCTTGCTTTTCTGCATCAAAGGGTGTGACATAGCCTAGATCTAGTACAAAACAAGGTTACCCAGCAAAAAATTCAAGATTTTAGCCACAATAATCTCGACCCATCAAAAATAAAGGATTGATTCAGCATCTTTAAAAAACAATTTTATCTTATGTCCATCATCAACATTCATCAAGATAGATCTAAATCTAGATCTAGATTCTAGAAGGCTTATATTTGGCATTGTGATTACTGTTGGTACGCAGAATGGCCTTACAGTACAGAGCATGAGCCTTCAGTTAGCATTTTGCCAAAATGGCCGCCCCCTGGACTCGGCTAGATCCAGTCCCCATGTATGAATCAAGTTGCATGATAGGGATAGGCCTAGGCCTAGTGAGTATCCGCCAATTCACAGGCAAGTAGTCAAGAGTCAAGAGTCGCTCTTCGGTCATTCGCCCACCAGGTCACCACTAGATCTAGATCTAGAATCTAAATCTAGACCGAACTGCACACTCTTGGCTGGGTGCACAACAAAATTAGATCTAGATCTAGATCTAGAAACATTTATTCATGAAATACTCTCTCTCTCTCTAGGCTAAAATAAATTAATCATAGTAACACTAGATAGACATACTACCCGAGATGATCAGTAAGTAGACATAGCAGCCTTGCATTTGTAACCAATGTAAACTACCACTCGCTCAGCGAGCCAATCACAATCCAACATTTTTGGGGTCCACCTAGATACAATGACTACGTAGACCCTAATTGGGGACTACCTAGACACCATGACTACGTAGACCCCAATTGGGGACCACTTAGACACCATGACTACGTAGACCCCAATTGGGGACTACCTAGACATCATGACTACGTAGACCCCAATTGGGGACTACCTAGACATCATGACTACGTAGACCCCAATTGGGGACTACCTAGACATCATGACTACGTAGACCCCAATTGGGGACTACCTAGACATCATGACTACGTAGACCCCAATTGGGGACTACCTAGGCATTATGACTACGTAGACCCCAATTGGGGACTACTTAGGCATTATGACTACGTAGACCCCAATTGGGGACTACCTAGAATCTATGACTATGTAGACCCTAATTGGGGACTACTTAGGCATTATGACTACGTAGACCCCAATTGGGGACTACCTATACATCACGACTGCGTAGACCCCAATTGGGTCGTCATTTGATGGCACAATTTAAGGGAAGTAAATCTACATTTACTATTGTTAGGTCGCTTTTTTCATTGTTGTTTCCCTTTGCCGTTAACAACGCATTTCATTGTTTTTCTTGGCAGGTTTTTACTTAGAATTTCGTGTGAGTCAAAGGTGTTAAGCTAAAAATAATATGATAAAAACTGCCAAAGGGGTGGAGGTCCGAAAAAATGTAGTTTTCCTCTATTTCATTATTTTGACGAGCGCCTGATTTCAACACAGAGTCTCACATTCACTCTCCATTTGTTGACGTCAAAAAGGAAAAAAGATAAGTGTTGAAGATTTGTAATTGTGCAGTACAGTTTCTTTGGGTTGTGTACAAGCAGAGCAAGAGTATCAAAAATTTGTATAGTTGCAAAACCCAAGGAACAGGGGACTCCTATGTCTCTTTTTTCAATACTTTAAACTGCTAATACTGTAGCACCACTAGACTTGTACATTTTTATTTCTAAATAAAATTGTTTGATCATTCTCAGTAAGCTCAGACAATGTATGTACATTTTTGTGAAAGATTGTGTAAGAAAAAAAATTGTATTTTTTTATAAACATAAAACAGGATTTAACAAAAGCTGTGTGCTGTGATCAGTTTAATTTAAATGATGTCATTTTGGTTGTTAATTATTTAGAGCTGTCTGTCTGCCTGTCTCTTTCACCCACTCTGTCTGTCTGTCTGTCTGTCTGTCTGTCTGTCTGTCTGTCTGTCTGTCTGTCTGTCTATCTCTCTCTCTCTCTATCTCTCTCTCTCTCTCTCTCTTTCTCTCTCTCTCTCTCTCTCTCTCTCTCTCTCTCTCTCTCTCTCTCTCTCTCTCTCTCTCTCTCTCTCTCTCTCTCTCTCTCTCTCTCTCTCTCTCTCTCTTATTCACTAACTCGTTTTCTCTCTCTGTCTGTTTTTCTCTCAGTCTGTCTCTGTGTATGTAGGCTAATTAAAGTATTTAATGCCCCCAACGACACAATCTAGATTATTAAGGAGAGCCTGCCAGGGCCAACCCAGGCTCAATAAGGAAGGTGTCTGTCAAAAAAATCTCATTAATGATTCACTTTACACACACAGTTATCACCCTTTAGAGGGGCCAGGGTAGATAACCAAATAAATTAGGTTTTAAGACAAACAAATCCTTGACTTCATCGGTTGGCCTTAAGTTTTTTACTTAAGGCCAACCCCTCATGTGACAAAAATGTTCTGCTTAAAACCGTATTTTAATTGTTACGTCCCCTGATATAATACCGAAAATCCACTAAAGCTTCAAGATCTGTTCAGTGAAAAGTCACTTCTTTCTTATTTTCTCTTCTATTAACATTTTTACACCCTTTTTACATAATGCGTCGTCTTTAATAGTCTTTGAACCAGCAGAGCGGTTAAAAAACATTTTGACCAGTCTTGCCAAGCGTTCATATTGGGGAAAAATATTGTTTTGAGTAGGGGTTTTTTTTTTTTTTTTTTTTTTTTTTTTTGGTTTTTTTTTGGGGGGGGGGGGGGGTGGGGGGGCTACTGAAATATAATTCTGGAACCTGTAATTATCCTTATAACAAAAACATTAGAAATCTGGGTCAGTGACATATTCATTTATCTGTTGTATTTGTTTTGTTGTTGTTGTTTGTTTGTTTTTTCAAGCTAAAAATATGAGTGCAAACAGATGAAAACTAGCGAGAGAGTAAGCCGCCTATCTTAATAAAATGTGTCGGATGTATGTTTGCTTTTTTGTTACAGGACGACATTCAATAGTCTTTAATTATAATCATAACTGTAATGTTAATAATCTGTATCTGTTACATCATTAAATACCTGGGGGGGGGGGTTCCCATACGCAGTGAAATCATGGGTCGTCTGTCCGGCTGGCAAGCAGTAGTCAAAACTTCACACCTCCTACAAGTATAAGTGCTGTCCTCGTGGTTTTATGTATCCCGCATAATTTAGCAAAATTTGATCATTTTTTGCATAGTTTCTGATTTTTCCTTTATCATTCTTTGTTAAAATCAACAGAATCGCATATTTTCACAATTTTAGGCTCAGTTTGCATAATTTCATTTTTTTTTTTTTCATAAAACCGCGGGGACAGTAAGTGCTATCTATCCTAGCCTTTCTATTTTGCTGATAATGACTTGTATAAGTCTTGTCCATTGTCACGAGAGTTTGCATCTCATTGGACCATTTAAAATAGAAATCATTAAACGCCCTCTTTGTTTCCATCCTTAGCCCCACCCATCGCAGCTATGATAAGCACAATCAACCAGTGCCACTCCTCCGCCCATGTAACAACGATTCGAGGAACTTTTTTTCTCGGCTGGCTGGTCGTACGATCAAGGCATGTGTACATGTGTTCTGTTAGTCTGTCCCCGTGGTTTTATGCACCCCGCATAATTTAGCAAAATTTGATAATTTTTTTGCATAATTTCTGATTATTTTCCTTTATCATTCTTGGTTAAAATTAACAGAATCGCATAATTTCACATTTTTGGGCTCATTTTGCATAATTTCATAATTTTTCTTGCATAAAACGACGGGGACAGATTAGTCAAACTCAAACTAATTTCACACCTGTGGCTACCAGGAGTTGCCATGCTGGAGCACCATTCGAGCACTTTCACAGGCACAAGTGAGATTTCACACCCACCCACCCACACACACACACACACACCACCCTGACCATCTGCACCGCTCAGAGCTCACATGAACGATGTAACAACAGTGCCTACTGTTCTTTAGTTTTAGCTTTTAGTAGGGTTTTACGGCGCTCGCAGCTGCATTAGGTCAAGTGAGCCCCAAGGGGAGGATGTCAACAGAAGTCCAAAGGGGGAATCAAGCTTACTCTGCTTACCTCTCTAGCCTCAACAGCACAAAATCTGATTCGACTATCAAGGCACCCCAGGCAGTTCACAAGAGAGTGACATACATACAAAAGAAGTATAGGAAAAAATGACGATAGTAAGGATGAGGAAAGAAAAAGCAGCAGTTCCCCTTATGTTGTTCAAACACAGTATGAGTACGACATTGATAAATCAGCCCATTTACAATTCTACTGTGCATAAGAACATGTTAATATCCCCCCTTTGGGAATGGTCTTAAGACAACTCCAGTCAATAGCACTGCCCTGGTTTTGGGGGGGGGTTGCCTACTGTTTATAAGGTTTACCACATTAGGCACTGGGTGACCACATCTACCCCCAAGCCACTGCCCTTCCCCCTTTCCAAGCCTGGTGGCATGATGTAAAGGTTAATATTAAAGCCAAAGGAAACAAACTTGGGGAGTTTTGTTTCAAATTAGAGCAGAGTGGGCAATTTCCGTCATGGACGACAGGTCAATTCTCTTCGAAGGGAAGGAATTTCTCTTTCCATTTCTGTGTTGAACAGGTTTCCGTTTTATATTAATAATAATATAGATGTATTTATAGAGAAATTTATCAATGGGGAACAGGGAGATTCCCTTGTGACATGCTTCCGTTAAGGCAGGTTCGACTGTATTTATAGAGAGGCATGGATATGTGTGTGACTACACATACTGACGAAGGCAAAATAAATTACAGGAACAGGAACACACATAAAAAAAACACACTAAAGATCCCTTTCAGACAAGATTTATTACACACAGAATGTCATTATTTCACCTTTCAAACAAGATTCATTACACATTACACACCAAATGTCATTATATTTCTTCATTTCATGAATCACAAAATTAAGATTGTACAAATAATTAGTTCACTGATTCCCACAAACGCAGTCACTAGATCTCTGTTGTCATTCACAGTGACATATAAATTTACAGCGTCCCAACAAAGTTCATTTTTTACCGGGTCAGGTTTAGTAAAAAGTAGGGAAGGAATTAAATCCAATAAATAAAGTCGACTGTGAGGTAACAATAAAACATGACTTTCATTTTGTCAAACAATCCAAAAATAGAACTGTGGTTCTTGTAAGGAAAAACAAGCTTAATCTCATTGTAATCATTTTCACTATGATTCACACAAAATGCAAAATCAAAAAAGTTTTCCTTTCATCATACAAAGCACAAACTTTGAAAACACATAAACATCCTTTTTTTTATTAAAAAAAATCAAGGTTTTTGAACAAACAGCTCTTTTTGCTCTCATTAGTCCCGCTACTTTTCTGATATTAATATTATTATTATTATTATTATTACTCACACAGCTGAGGCTACAAGCAGCTGGCAATTACCAAAGGTTCAAAAACAACATCTCCTTCTTCTACTCTCGAGAGGAAACCTTTTTGTTAATGTTAGCTATCAGTTATTGGTAGCTACTCATTCCAGTAAGCCTTCCTCCTATCTAATAAGTGACTACAAGACATTCATTACAAAATGAACACTTTTTATATTTAATGGTCTATTTTTTTTTCTGGTAAAACTATTTTGCTACTGTAATCGGTCGTCAAATTCCCCTTACAGTAGTTTTATGAGATTATGAGTAGCTACCAATAACTGACAGCACTGTGCCCTATTATTGGTTTTTACCTTCACTGTTTATATAATTTATTTTGAAAATTCATGAAGAAAAATAATTTCATAAAATCATGTTATTACATGAGAGTGAGAGGAAAATTCAGGAAACTAAGAGTAAGTTACTTAGCAAACACTGCCTGAGATCATAATGTCCCAAAAACAAATAAATGTTCAAAATGTTACACACTGCCTTGCACACATGTGATATGACCGGACCCATAAAACTGTGAAGGTTGATCAAATTTATCTCACTCTTTACCCAAACACACAAACACCCACAATACGCATGCACTCAAATCACACAGTACTGTTTGACCTCGTAACTACAATCAACCTCATCAAATAATAAAAATAAACATGTTCTTGAAAACTAATCTTATACTAAAAGAATATTAAAAAGTTGAAAAAAGAAAAAAAAGTTACATAAAGTAACAAATAATACAACTGATGACTACTTCATCAATTAAGGCAATCTTATTATGTCCTCATTAAATTAATCTCCAATACTGTCACAGTCACTGCCAGTGAAACATGTCATGGTAAACATAGTAGGACAGCTCCGTGCAAAAAGAAGAACAGGACCACATGTCAGTAGTCATTACATAGGTTCAGCGCCCCTTTCAACACTACTTTAAAGTTGTTTAAGAATAAGAGGCGGGATCCTTAAATTTAACTTCCATCTCCAAAACGAGTGAGCCAGATGGGTGGAGATACTTAAAAACTCGCCAAAACAACCCATATTCAGGAAACCCTGTTGGGGATTTGAACCAGGGCTATATGCTCCATTATCCAACACAATACTTATGGAGTTGGAGCAAACTGTGCATCCAAACCCACTGGAAATTCATTGTCAGGGACTACCGAAGAAGGCAGGATAAACCCAGACTGCCCTGGCCACCTACAACTTCTCAGCCCTTGAGTAACATACCATATAATATTAAATGTATAATTTGTTGATGTTAATGCCATAATGACATCAGAAGAGGTTTGTTACAGATTTCAGAAAAACCACGACAATCCCCACATAAAGGCAGTATGGGAAACATAGCGCACTTGTCTAAAACGGACATAATTTGCATGCCAGCCACATAACACAGGAGTAGAAACAATACTCATGTCCAGTGGGGTCCACCTTAACCAAAATCTGTGAGGTTGCTAGATTTTCTTTGGTTTTAAATTCACGTTTTTTGGTTAGAGAGATAGCCAAGAAGCTAAGAACAAAAAATCGGGAAATATATTTTCCTTTGGTTCACCTTGTTTTCGAAAAAAAAAAAAAAAACGATGTGTGGTTTAAGAAAACTCCACAATACATCTATACAGCAGTAGAACAGAACTCAAGGCATAGTAAATACTATTTTTCTCAAAATGACAATCGAGCAGCGAGTCAAAAATGCCTAAAGAGCAAGAACCTTCAGCTGTGTATGCCTTTTATGTTGTATTGACATATATGTATATATAGTTTACAGAGGCTCTACATGATATTTATACAATTATCTATAATATAAATTAAATACAATACAATAAAGACAGAACAGTTACACATTCTTCCAAATCAATGGAGTCAGTAACACACGACCCTTTCAAGCAAAACCCATGAGTCCAGATATAAAATAAGTGCCTAAGTACCACTACTATACATGAAAAAGGAAATCTCTGAGATGATGTCTTTATCAGAAAAAGAGCAACCCCCCCCCCCCCCCCCCGACACACACACATACACTAATTGTTATTTGATACGTTTGTATGTGTAATATCAAAATGAATATTTAAAAAAAGGCTACAGGTATCAAAGAATTCTTCTGCTCAAAAACCTCTCCAAAATTCATTATACTCCGACATGTGGTAGGCACATCTAATATGTCTAATGTTTCTTTCATCTTTCTTCAACAACTTTCTTCACTACATTCCTTTTTCAAAGTGCAACATGACAAGTGAAATGTTCATCCTCTCATATTATGTCATAAGGCATTCTGGTAATTTTTGCAAAAATATTTTCTAACTACTGCAAAATTAAAATTCAGCCATCACATTCTGCTAGGCTCAGGCATCCTCTCAAAACACAACACAACTTGCAAATTTTGTGAAGGAAGTTCCCTGAACTGACAATCCACTATGAATGTCATAATTTGTATCAGCACAAGAACTCACAACCAGCTGTCGACAAGGAACATCATTGGAATGACTGGCCAATTTGCACCGCAAAATCATGAACCGGGCACAATGCTTGACTTGACGCCACGTGCCAAGAATAGCAAGAAAACCCCCCCGAATAACTGTCACTTTTCGAGATGAATTCCTTGAGGTCTTGCAAAATAAACTACTTCACATCGTATTTCCATCAAAACCAGTCTCATACTTTGCAACTCATTCAAAAGGTAAGATGCCGTTTCTAGACTTGACAAATTCATCCATCACCAGTTCCTGGCCAACGGGTGCTCAGCAGCATATCCGCCATGTTTGAAAATGGACTCTGCAATTTGTCGGTTTGTGTCATCAATCGCTCTGTTGGCTTGTTTTGCTGGAAAAAGGAAATTTGTTTTAGTAAGTGTTTTACCGCACTTGCAACACAACAAGGTAATATAAGTGCCGAAGATTAGAGGTGTTACAAGAGAGTAACAAACACAAAAAAGGAGGAGGAGAGATAAGGACGATAGATGTTTGATAGGAAAGAAGGAGCAAACCACACCAGAGCACCTGCCAACCACCCACGAAAAAGCAAAGGGTGACAAGGATAAAGGCTAGTCTCTACTTTTAAAAAAAAGGTAGTTGAAACAATATGTATACCTCACAACATAAAAATTAACCTTGATCACAAACAGTTGAAGAGAATATTCTACACAGAAAGCCTTTACTAACTCTTCTGTTTCTTACTCTCATTCTCATTCACTTTCTCTTCCCCACCCAGATTTGTCCTAAAACAAACAGCAGGCCCATACACATCTTATTCTTTTCTTTTCTCTCTCTCTCATTCTCTCATCCACTCTCTTACAACATCTTCTTCGCTCTTTCCTTCTCAAAAACAAAAAAGATACACAGCTCTATTCTTTTTCTCTCTCCGTCTCTCACACAGACATACACACACACAAACTTTTAGGACTATTTAAACTATTCAAAGTATACAAACATCAAGAACAACTCAACCCACTCAAACATCTACAACTATTTAACACACTCAAAGACATCCAACAGAAGACAAAAACAGCTTTCATTTCCTCATCAAAATAACTTACAGGGCATCAACTCATACAGGTTCTGGTTGATTCTCTGCTCCGCCTCATAGCAAAACGACCTCGTCAAAAGAACCTGCAAAGGACAATATAGCATTAACTTACAATATTTTATCTTATCGCTGAAGAAAACATTTTTACAGTAGTTTTTGGTTCTGATTACAGACTAAGCAGAAAAAACCCCCCCAAAAAACAACAACAAAAAACACACAGACAGCAGACATAATATGTGAGGCATCGAGGTGAAATCAGGTGCTCGTAAAAATAATGAAATCCAGGATATCAGCATTTTACTGCCAGTTGGGAATTTTCTGTGAAACCAGGCGACCCCACCTCCTTCAATCGCAAATATCTCGACCTCTATTCAAGATAAATGGATATTTTTTTCATTGAAAACAAGGCAAATGAACAATCTTCAAGATGATACCAATAACTCCATATGCCCAAAAATTGAAGAATGCCTGATTCCACTGCGTCGTGACACAAATAGTTGTTTATATTATACAGTTATTTATTTATGCGGCGCGACTCGGCGGAATCAGATGCTCCTCAATTTTTCTGCATATATGGAGTTATTGGCAACATTTTAAAGCTTGTTCATTTGTCTTGCTTTCGATTTTTTTTAAAATTACCCCATCCATCTTCAAAAGAAGTGGAAATATTTTGGATAGAAGGAGGTAGGGGTCACTTAGTTTCAGAGGTAAACATTAGGGAGAAAATGGCCTCCACAGTCTGATGACTTCCAAAGCTGGAGTGTCCTTGGAAACTGTAAATTTACATTTTTGTGCTTTTAATCAACATTTTTCAGTAACACCCACACAGTAATTTGGCAACAACAAAACTTTTGTCTTCTTCAATTTCATTATTTTAACGAGCGCCTGGTTTCATCACGATGCCTCACATATAGTCTTGCTTGTTTCTTTGAGTGAAAAAAAAAGTATGTTGCAACACAACAAGGTCATATAAGTGCCGAAGATTAGAGGTGTTACAAGTGAGTAACAAACACGAAAAAGAAGGAGGGGAGATAGAGACGATAGATTTTTTACAGGAAAGAAGGAGCAAACCACACCAGAGCACCCGCTAACCACCCACTCCAACTGTCTACACTGAAGTCATGATAACTCCCGGACACCTACCTCTTGGTCAGCGTTCCTGAGGCCGATACACAGTGAGCGAGAGGCGCGGCCGATGCAAGCGGTCAAGGCGTACAGGTCAATGGAGATGTCCGCCAGACGCTTCAGCTTCATCTGCTCATCAACCACTTTCTGTTTCAGACAAAGAAGGTTTCATTTTAGTAAGGTTTTACGGTGCTCACAACTGCATAAGGTCATATGAGCACCAAGGGGTGGATGTCAACAGAGAAGTCCAAACGGGGAATCAGGCTTACTCTACTCACCTCTCTAGCCTCAACAGCACAAAGTCTGCTTCGTCTATCGA